GTTCAGGGACTTGAGTTGCAATTAATCAAAGTGTTGAAGGCTAGGTCTAGGGTTGTGATGGATGCCTCGAAGTTGCAAACGGCGCGAGATTTCGCTAGAGTCACGCCATGATCTCGCTCGAGCCACGATTGCAGAACCACTGTCGCAAGAGCCTCGCCAGCAGGTCGCTCTAGCTAAGTGGACGTCGCTCGAGTCACGCTGGTCCCTCGCTCGAGCGACCTATTTATCTGGGCAACATTAAGTTTAAAAGCTCGCGATTTTTTGACGCGCCACAAAAAACCATACGTTGAGCCATATAAATATGATTCGTCTCCTTCGAGTTGAATAGAGAGGAAATACACATTGAAGCCATATTATAGATTCTCTCTAAAATCCTTGAAGATCAAAATCCTCGAAAAGCAAAAAAAAAAAAAAAAATCCCACCCCCAAAAACCAAAACACCACCTTCTTTAAATCCTATAAAACTTCCAGAAGATCCTCAGATTGAAGATCCGGGAAGAACTTGCTTGAAGAGCGGGAGTGCTTGACGATTCACGGGAAGTAGAAGTCACACAAGGCTGGGATGGTAGCACAGATCTGCTAGATCCAGGAGAGTCTTGTTCTCAAACAGTAAGGAGGTCAGAAAATTGAGGGGATCAATTGTTCTGACGTACTGTAAGTTACCTTCTACAAATAGTGGATCTCTACTGGCTTGTGCCCGGAGTTTTTACCCAGTTGGGGTTTCTCCGTCAACATTCGTTGTGTTCTTTTATTGCTTTAATTTATTTATTGTTACCGGTAATTCAACATAGGTAATTAAGACATGTGAATGAATCTGGACAAACTTTAATTCTTGTGACTTGTTGCACGAATTAATTGATAAGTTTTTTTAATTCCGCATGAACACCTATTCACCCCCCCCTCTAGGTGTTAGTTGGGTCGAACGTTAGGTTTTTCAGTATCAATAAAATTCAAACTTTACAAACAAACTACTATCAATGACAAAGCAAATAGAAACTCATAGATGATTACACACCTAATCTTTAAGAGATTGCAGAACATCCCCAATCATCTCCTTCATCAAATCTAACTTCTTATAGTAAAGCTCGACCTCCTTTATCATAAGTTTTTCCCATTTTGCCTCAACGTTTCCTGAATTGCTACTCCCCTTCAAGGTGCAGTTCTTCTTGACCATATCTGGTGCAATGAATCCAATATTTTGATTGAATGACGGATGTATTAAAGGATACTTTAACTCCATATTGATATCGACTTTATCCTCAACAGTGCCTTTCTTTTTTTTATCTTCTTTTTTGGACCCAAACTCCACTCTTCTCCGCTTTCTTGT